AGCGGCTCAGCCCTCATCCGCCGTATCCCACCAGGCACAGTCAGGCACGCACCACGCCCACGCGACTAAAACACGTCCCCGGCTCCCCACACGGGCACACGGCGGCCACACCCACTCGGCGCTTCCCCGCACGGCTGCACCACATTCGCGCCCTCTCTCTCTCTCGGAGTCTCGGTCGCGGATGCGGAGTGCACCAGTCGGCGCCTCGGCTGCTCCCTCACGGCGGTCGGCCCTCGCGGGGCGGCGGCTCGACCGCCCTGCCTCAAGATCTCGCCACCGCCGCTTACCAGCTGAATGCCGCCGCCGCCAGCACACGACGGGCGCGCGCGCCCGGTGCCTGCCCACGCCGCGACGCTGCTTATGGGGAGGCGTCGGCCTTTGAGGCGAGCATGCAGGTCGCAGGCCTTGTGAAAACTTTTTCCGGGTTTCGGATTATCCGGGAATCCGCGGGTTACGGTTTCGGGAATGGATTTTCATCCGAATTGGTTTTGGTTTCGGATTCGGGTTTTAAGTTTGGTTTCGGTTTTGGTTGCCCAGACACCCCACACGATCCGAACCCGTCCCATTACCATCCTTAATCTAAGGGCATAGCAAAAGCCAAAAGCTACCCATTTGTTTCATTTTTAGGCTCAGTTGCAACGGTGTGAGGATCAACAAATGCTCATGGTAGGGGCTTGTCGAACTTTAGAGACGGTGGCAATAAAACATTTTGCGTCCTTTGTACGACCTTCTTTATTGTTTACTAGGTCTTGAGTTGGTTTTGTTATAATAAAAACTTTGTTACCTAGAGCTCTGTAGTAATGATGAAGCCAGTTACTTTTTGCACTATCTAAAAATCTAGAAAAACATATGTACTGTCTGTCGTTTAAATAAAGAGAAAATTCCCTATTTAGCATCGGAATATGACATGGTTCCTGATTTAGCACCAAAAGATAAAATCTTCTTAATATAGCATTGAGTTTATTTTTGGTTCCCTATATAGCACTGTCATTAGATGTGGCCTCTAACACCGTCAACTATGAAGAGAAAAGACCAGTTTACCCCTATTTCATCTATAATACCATCAACATGTTAACAATGATATTTTATTGCACAATTTTTTTTTGAATTACAACATTTTTGGACCATGAATATTTTTTGGCAGTACATTTTTTGCGCATATTATTTATGGCTATACAATTTTGTGGATAATAATCATTTTTACTGTACCCAATGTACATCAAGAATTGTCGTAAATAATCTGTGGAAAAGAATTGTACTACCAAAAAATATTCATGGTCCAAAAAAATTGTATTGTCAAAAAATATTTAATTCTGTAATAAAATGGTATTGTCAAAAAATATGTGCAATAAAATTTAACTGTTAACACAATGTTGTGGCTGCACATGAAAACATGGGTAAAATGGTCTTTTCCCCTTATAGTTGACGTGTTAGAGGTCAAATCTAACTGCAGTGCTATATAAGGAATCAAAAATAAACTCAATGCTATATTGAGAAGATTTTATCTTTCGATGCTAAATAAGGAACCATGTCATATTCCCATGCTAAATAGGAAATTTGCTCTTAAATAAATGGAAAAACATGTACTTGTGCCGGGTTGTTAGAATAAAGGATAGCATATTTGGTACGAGCGTGCACACATGCAGGTGCTACTAGCCACAGCTACTTCGAAAAAGATAGAATCAGGACGATACGTTGCCGGTACACGGGAGACATGTGTGCGACACGATGCAATTCATTACTAGTTCCTCGCAAGAAAAGGAGCTGTTGCTGCCGCTTTAAACTGTAAAGCGCCACCGTCCCCTTTTTGAACCCCTCTTGTCGTCTTAGGTTCAGTCATCATAACCTCGCTCACATTGTCGCTTGGTACGTAACCTAGCTAGCTAGGGATCACAGGCTGATACTTTTCGTGTCACGAGAAAATTTCAAGATTACTGCTCCCTCCGTCCTCCCTAAATAACCATTGTTCTCGCTTCCTGAGAAATAACTTTGACTAATTTTATATAAAAAATATTAATATCTACAGTATATAATTAATATTATTAGATAGATCATGGAATCTATTTTTATAATAATTTTATTTGGAGGTATAAATGTTGTACGTATTTTCTATAAATCTAGTCAAACTTATGGCATGGAAATAAAAAAACAACAACTATTTAGGGACGGAGGAAGTAAGTATTTTAATTTCTTCTAGAGCGGTAGGGAGTGGTCTGAACTGAATATACACACACACATATAGAAAACAACTATTGTCGAAACTTGATGTAATAATTATTTATAACCAATAAAACTTCTTTTATCTTAAAAAAAATCTGACTGCCATAATCGTGTCTTGTCCAATCACCTCTTTTTATTCTAAAAACATGTTATTCTCATTTTTCTATTTAAGTTTGACTGAAAAACACACACACACACTAATATTTATGATATATAGTAAGTTTTATCGTCATGAAATATAACGAGAATTAGGAATGCAAACCAGCTAATCCGTGAACCCACGTATATGGCTTATACATGTTCGTGGGGTAGCACATTTCGGGCCCCTTTGAAACGCATGAAAGATCAAGCACATGAATAGGAGAAACATAGGATTTTTATAGAAATGCATACGCAAAACAGAGGATTGAGAAACACAGGAAAACTAAGGAGTAAGCCGTTTGGATGGAGCACAGAAAAGGGGCTCTGTTCGCTTAAGCTTATAAGCCAGAATCACTCCTACTTTTTTAGCCATGAAATAATGTTTTTCCTCTCACAGCAAATCAGCCTTACAAATCAGCCGCAGCAGCAATAAGTCCTACCGAACAGAGCCGGAATTGGAAAGATTGATAAATTATTGTAGTCATACAATATCGATCTTCAAATGCTCCACTTGCATGCCACTTTTTAGAGCTTTGCATCGGCGTCAACTGGCACATTTGCCTCGATCCTACGTGAAGGGATGAGAAAAATGAGGTTCAGATAGATGTTTCTTTTCCTACGATCTTCCCTTGAAATGAGTAGGATAGGAAATTTTCCTTCAGATTTCGTATGGTCCAATCCTCCATCCAAAGGCATGAACAGTCTCAGTCCTATAGGAAATGAAATCCTCCCTCTTTCCTATGAAAATCCTCCAGTCCAAGGAAGATTGAACGATTGACTGACATGGACTATATACGAACTCGATCTTGTGACATGAGATGCCCAGTCAGCTAGTGAGGTCAGCTCGTGGGTCCCCCCCCCCCACAGCTGTGAACATGGAGGATGTAGCAGAGCATGCAGATGGTCGGATGGTCCTGAACCTGAACCTGCTGCCGGTCTACGTCCACCAAGGATTCAGTCAAATCGATCCCAAGTGTGCGTGTGTCCGTGCACTGTTTGCTTGAGTTTATCATGCAGATTTAATCTTACTTTTTAGTCATGAAATTTTTTTTTTCTTTCACAATAAATCAATCATATAAATCACCGTAGCCACAATAAATCCGGCCAAACAGAGCCCGTCATCCTTCGTGATCAAGACCACCGGGAAGCCAAGCCTTTCTTAAAAAACAATAATTTTCATTTCAGCTACACGCGATGGATAATCACTCGAGAGACATGATCCAATTGGATTTTCTAGAGTGCTTATTAGTCTCCTACGCCTACACTCTACGTATTTCTATGTTTTTTTTAGTAAAATTGAACCGGTTCATGGGAAATTCTTGGGTTTGATTAAATTGCACTAGAGAGAAATGTGAAGCAACTTCCGTAGGAGTACTTGCTGTTGAACAAGTACAGTACACTGTTTTTCTTTCCCTTGTTATTAATAATAATCAGACAGGCAGGAGAGGACTGAGCGAGGCCGAGGACCAAGAAGACCAAGCACCCCTCGTGCCGCTGCCGCAAAGACTCGCGACTCGCGAGAGAAGCGGCCACTGCAGCAGCCGAGCCCCTCGAGCCCTCGGCCCCGCCCCCGCCCCCGCCGCCTCCGCTCCGCTCCCCTCTCACTCCACCAGCGCGCTTCGGATTCCACAGGCGAGAGGCAAAAGCGAAGACCCGAGGCGCCACCGCTCTCCGGCCTGCTTCCTCCGCCGGCCCTCCCGGCCGGCCGGCGAGCGAGAGCCAACGAGCCGCCGGGCCGAAGCGAAGCGCGCCGCCTCGCCCGCCCGCCCCTGTGCTCTCCTGGGCCGCCGCGGGGCGGAGATCCGCACCGGACTCCCCACCGCTTCCGTCGGTTCCTGGTAAGGAAGCAAGCCCTAGCCTTTGCGTGTGGAATGGGGTTGGTGTTGTTCTAGGACCGGGTCATGTCCCGCGGGATCTTCCCTCTCCCCTTTGCTCTGACGCAAATCAAGCTCGAATCTTTCTTCCTGGGATCGACGGGCTCGCTTGCTGTGCGTGCGGAGGGTGGGCAAGTTGGTTTCGCTTCCCCCAACAATTTGGGGGCTCGGCGGAAACGAGCCCAATCGCCTTGCCATGCCCTGCCTGTTTGAACTAGTGGTAGCAGCATGCTCGTTCACTAGGAACTACTAGATGCTCAGTGCTTCGACAAACAGCTAATTTTATTTCGTTGCTCCACAACACTCTATATGTGAGGATTTATTTTAGTGCAACACCTGCAGTGTGTAATTCTAGCTACTTCTGGTCCTACCAACCTGTTAGCTTATTTTTAAGACCCGGTCTCCTTATACACCCGTTTACCCATAATGCTGAGTGTGTTTACTTCTTAATGCGAAGCAAAATCCCTCTTTTACCATCAAGCGACCTCCTTAGCTTCATAGGTAGAGTGCTCGTATTTTGTCCCTATAACCGTTTTCACAGAAGTCGTAGTACCTAAAACCAAATTTTCTCAATGCCCTTTATTTCCTGTAATTTATTTAGTATGAATTTTCCTTACTTTACCTATCAGTTAGTGTTGTATAGTGGATTTTACTTCATTATTGTTAAATACTTGCAGGTTGTGAACTACCTGATCAACCCTTATTGCTATGTATCGCTACTGGTCTTGAAACCCAATAGTTACTTGGGGATCAGATGCGACAAATATGCACACTAAAGGGGCTTCTTCAGATGCCATCAGAGTTAGCACTTCTAGCGCCCCTAGCACATCAAGCCATGGTTCTGCACAAGATGACTATGATTCCTCTGGCGACGTGTACGTGTGGGGTGAAGTCATTTGTGACAACACTGTAAGAGTTGGTCCTGATACAGTAATCAGGTCAACCGGGAAGGCTGATTTTCTATTGCCTAAGCCCCTGGAGTCCAAGCTAGTTCTTGATGTGTACCATGTGGATTGTGGGGTCAAGCACGCTGCTTTGGTCACAAAGAATGGGGAAGTGTTTACGTGGGGTGAGGAATCTGGAGGACGTCTTGGCCATGGATCAAGGGAGGACTCTGTTCACCCTCGTCTGGTTGAGTCGTTAGCTATTTGTAATGTGGACATTGTTGCCTGTGGGGAGTTCCACACCTGTGCTGTGACAACAGCTGGTGAGCTTTACACCTGGGGTGATGGAACACATAATATTGGACTTCTAGGCAATGGTACCGATGTAAGCCACTGGATTCCTAAAAGAATTTCAGGAGCACTGGAGGGTCATCAAGTTGCTTATGTTTCTTGTGGGACCTGGCATACAGCCTTGGTTACATCGAGAGGGCAGCTATTTACGTTTGGCGATGGTACATTCGGAGTTTTAGGACATGGAAACCGTGAAAGTTTTTCATGTCCAAAGGAGGTAGAGTCTTTATCGGGGTTGAAAACAATCGCTGTGGCTTGTGGTGTATGGCACACTGCAGCTGTTGTAGAAGTTATAGTCACCCAATCCAGTTCAAGTATGTCTTCTGGGAAGCTCTTCACATGGGGAGATGGCGACAAACATCGGCTTGGTCATGGTGACAAGGAACCAAGACTTAAGCCTACGTGTGTGGCTTCACTTATTGATTATGATTTCTGCAGGATAGCATGTGGTCATAGTCTTACTGTAGGACTGACAACATCTGGACAGATTCTGAGCATGGGTAATACTGTCTACGGTCAGCTTGGGAATCCTCGTTCAGACGGTAAACTTCCATGCTTAGTTGAAGATATCATGGGTGAACATGTTGTCCAAGTTGCATGTGGTTCCTACCATGTTGCAGTCTTAACAAATAAGAGTGAGGTTTTTACATGGGGAAAGGGGGCCAATGGAAGACTGGGTCATGGAGACATAGAGGATAGGAAAATACCTACACTGGTTGAAGCATTGAGAGACAGGGCTGTTAGGCACATAGCTTGTGGTTCAAACTTCACTTCAGCTATATGCCAACATAAATGGGTTTCTGGAGCTGAACAGTCGCAATGTGCCTCATGCCGGCAACCATTTGGGTTCACCAGGAAGAGGCATAATTGCCATAATTGTGGTCTTGTCCATTGTAATGCTTGCACCTCACATAAGGTCCTGAGAGCAGCATTGGCTCCTAATCCTGCAAAACCATACCGTGTTTGCGATTCATGTTTTATGAAATTGAACAGTGCAGCATACTCAAGTGCAGTTAATAAGAAGAAAGAGGTTGTGCCTCGCCACTCTGGTGAAAGCAACAATGATGCTAAATTAGCTAGAGCAATTGTGCCCAGCAATTTGGATATGATTAGAAGTTTGGACAGCAAGGCAGCAAAACAAGGGAAGAAAACTGATGCACTGTCATTCCTTCGGACTCCCCAAATGAGTTCACTTCTTCAGCTAAAAGATATCGCTTTATCTGGTGGAATTGATCTGAACAAGTCAGTTCCAAGAGCAGTTCGCACACCAGTTCGATCATTGAACTCATCTAGGGCTGTTTCCCCTTTCTCTCGCAAGCCTAGTCCACCACGCTCAACCACACCAGTTCCAACAACTCATGGTCTTTCAATTGCTAAAACTGCTGCTGATAGTCTTGCAAAAACTAACGAGATGTTAAGTCAAGAGGTTGAAAGACTCCGTGCACAGGTATTGACTTTGATTTATATACAAGCTTGCAGCTTTGTGTTATTATGTGGACAAACAGTGAAATCTGTGGACCTCTTTAGGTTGATAATCTGAGGCACCGCTGCGAGCTTCAAGAACTTGAGTTGCAGAAATCAGCAAAAAAAGTACAAGAAGCCATGACAATGGTTTCAGAGGAATCTGCAAAGTCTAAAGCTGCTAAGGAAGTCATAAAGTCCCTAACAGCACAGGTAATATTGATTGGCTAAGAGTTTTAATGCCTTTCTAGTTACCCACAAATCTATACTGTTCCTGTGGTATTCATTGCAAATATCCAATTATTTAAAATAATTGGCTATTAAGATTGCCAAGACATTTTCTTCATGCTTATGGTCTTATGGCCATGGTTTGTTGTACAGAAGGTATATGTTTTCTATTTCAAGAACAGCAATGGCTTTGTGTCATCAAATTATACAAATTCAAAATAATGTAGTACATATATAACCACCTTTTTGGTATAACTATATAGTTTATATATACCCTTTACCCATATTATGCTCTAGTAATACCCATATGGTCATAAGATTTAAAAAATTGCTGACTTCTATCCAAAAAAAAAACTTACATATTTGGTACCTAGCCTGTCAAAATATTAAATTATTGATTTGAGCTTACTTTATCTTGGCAAAGTGCCACCTTTCTTTGCTTGTTCGACTGAGATTGCTTTCTCTGATGATTGTTGCATGCATCTTTTGCTGTTGCTTGTTTAGCTCAAGGATATGGCTGAAAGACTACCTCCAGATCAGGGAGCCTATGATGGCAGTGAAGCAAAACAAATGCACGTTCCAAATGGCATTGAGATGTATGCTTCTATTTACACTGGCATGAATGGTATTCATCAGCCACGGAACGAGTCTATCAGTGCTGTAAGCACGCCAAGCCTGAACATCGGACGATCATTGCACCCAAATGGAATATCAAATCAGCATAAATCGCCAGGAAGTATTAGTGAAAACAGCGAAGTGAGTGCTCACACCCATAGGGTTTCAGGTCCTGATGCTGAAAATCCTAATCGAAGGGGACATAGCAGTAGTGATGAGATGCTCAGTGCAAGCAGTAGAGCAGATGATAGTAGCAGCAAGGATGCTAGGTTGCTTTTCAATGGCGAGGATGGTTACAAATCTCGGAGTGCAGTATCTTTGCCCAGCAACCAAGTTCAGGCTGAGTGGATTGAGCAGTATGAACCAGGTGTATACATAACACTGACAACTCTTCGTGATGGGACCCGAGATCTAAAGCGCGTACGCTTCAGGTAAGGTTTCTTCTGTCACCTTCATTAGGTGCTGTCAATTGCCAATGGGGTTTCTCCCTTGTTTGTGTTTCATTTATAGTTAAAAACGTTAAACATTAATAGTGAATAAAATAGTAAAAATAGGGTGTTGCAAATCATTTGCTGATCCTGACATTCCATAATAGCTGCAACGTAGAGCTGCAGGTTACCTTTAGCATAGACCATATCAGCATATTGTAGAACACAACATAACATTCTATCATCATTTGTGCTCAATGCTTTGTGCAATAAATTTTAAATAATCAATTGACCCGGCTGTAACTGAATCTTGACATGAACCATGAAAGGATCTTGCCAGAACCATGAACTGGTTTGCTTTTGTGTTCAGCTGTTAGCACTCAGAAGCATCTAATTTTACTAGTGTCATTGCCTGCTGTTCCGAGTTACCACTTACCAGTGTCACTGTCTCCTGTCCCAAATTTTCTGTGCAGTCGAAGGCGTTTTGGGGAGCATCAGGCAGAGAGCTGGTGGAACGAGAATCGTGACAAGGTCTACGAGAAGTACAATGTAAGGAGCTCTGAACGAGTCTCGTCGGCATCATCGATCCGGTCAGCTCGATGACCCCCTCCTTCCTACTCACTGCCTGGCAGTGGGCATCAGAAAACTTGAAGTGGGAGCGCCAAAGCCAAAGTCAGGGTGGCAAGGCGCTGAGGAATTGTTTTTGCCCGTGTAATGTCGATAATTCTTGTTACTGTTGTTGTGAAATTGAGTCAAGTCATCCATCCAAGGGCTCGTTAGGCTGCCCTGTTCCGATGTCATGTACATAAAGACATAGTTGTGGAACACCGAAACATGGAGTAGGGGGTGGTGGGCCGGCAGAGGGTGGGACAGCAGTGTGTTGACTGTTGAGGGGCCAGCCCATCCCTTTTCTATTTGATGAAAGCCGTGGCTGTAGCCAATGCAGCTGTAAAGAAGTGGCTTTTTTTTTGTCTCCAAAAATGTCTTGCGCCACATTTTGGCCGCCAATTACATGTGTACATGTATAAATGCCCATGCCCATGCAGAGTTCTGATGGCGACTCTCGCAGGCAAGGAGGGTTTTTTTTTTTCGGATGGCCGGTGTCAATGAAAAAGCGACACAACAGAAATATACTCTCTCCCTCTCAACTTGAACATAATGTTTTAGGAATCAGGATTCAAAAATTGTCAAAATTTTTGATGTTTTATAACTCTTATAAACACTAGGTTGGGGCCATGCCTCTATGCATTACTTTCAGTTAATGGCTTATATTCCTTTATTAGTGAAGTGTGGATCGCCTTGAATACACATGTGGTTTGAGCTAATCTGTCCAAATAAAAATCCTAAAAAAATAATTATTTTGGGACTGAAAAAAAAACCCTTCGAACTCTTCGCAAAGCCTCAGCAGAGGTCCAGTTTTGGTGACGGGTGCGCGTCTGGTGCACACATACCTTATCCGCTTCCCCGTGGCCTGCCTCCATCTGTGTCTCTGCAAGACCCCTCCGCGGCAGCAGCATCAGAGGAGGAGGAGCGCCGCGCGCATATCCCCTCCATGGATTCCTGCTTCCCTCTCCTTCCCTAGGCCAGCAGCTCCTTTAATTTCTTCCCTAGCGATCCTGGAAGAAACGCGGACAGGCATTAGCATTGTCATCCAGGAGGAGTCGAGAGAGAGGGAGGTTGACGATGGCGTTAGCCTGTACAGCAGCCAGGCTCGTCCACCCCTGCATGGGCATGGTGTCCAAGCACCCAAGAACACCGCCGCCGCCGCCGCCGTCCTCCTGCTGCCTACACCTCCACATCCTCCACCATAGGCCCGTCGCCAGCAGCCACTTCGCGCGCCACTCCGTCGACGTGTCCAAGGACGACAAGCCGCTTGAGACGCCGACGGCGACGACCACAGAGACAGAGAGCCCCCAGCCCGCCGCCGCTTTACAGGAGGAGGCCGAGGACGACGACGGCGGGCCAAAGCTGGACCCTCGGCGGTTCGAGGAGAAGTTCGCGGTGCTTAACACGGGGATCCACGAGTGCCGCTCCTGCGGGTACCGCTACGACCAGGCGGCGGGGGACCCGTCGTACCCGGTGCCGCCGGGCCTCCCCTTCGCGCAGCTGCCCGACGACTGGCGGTGCCCCACCTGCGGCGCCGCGCAGTCCTTCTTCGAGAGCAAGAGCGTCGAGATCGCCGGGTTCGCGCAGAACCAGCAGTTCGGGCTGGGCGGCAACTCCCTCACCTCCGGCCAGAAGGGCCTGCTCATCTACGGCAGCCTCCTCATCGGCTTCCTCTTCTTCATCTCCGGCTACTTCCTGCAATGACACGACGAGCAACCCCTTTCTACTTTCCTTTTGTGTGAATACTTACTCCACCCATATAGCTTATGTATTCCCACTCCCAGTTCCAGAGAAATGGAAACAAACTCCATTGATTTTGTGGCAATCATCATTCATATCCATATCCATGGAACTTCATCCATCAGTTATTAACTGGAGTAGAAAACCTTGGCAGTAGAATTTGATGATGCAGAAATCTTTAATTTTTTACGACAAATTAAGTCTGCTGTCAATGATTAATTGTTTGTAGCATATTTCTCTCTCTATATATTCATATATTGTCTATGCGGTTTGATGAATCATATATTACATTCCTGACAGAAATGATTTTGCAGAAATGTTTTTTTTAAAGTGTACGGAGTATTTTGCAAGAATGCATCATCAAGTGCATCAAATTTGTACTGGAAAGCTTCTTGGCAGACAGGTGCATATTCAAATATGATTCCAGCTTCAACAACGCTGCCAATTTTGCCTTGCATTGCACTGGTCTTTGACAAACACTGTTGTGCAGCTCAGTAATTGTGCACCGATCCTGCGTGTTAACCTCACAAGCGATCAGAATTGAACAAAGTATCAGTGTTTTTCATCTTGTTGCATAGGATATTTGCCAAAACTGAAAGCAGCAAACGAATACAGAAATTGTTTAAAAGCCCTTGACAGTCCTAGAAATACTGCCATGTCGTTTTTAGAACACCCTGTCACTTGTTGTATATTCCCTCCATACTAAAAAATGAAGTCGTTTTGGATAAGATTTGACTTAAACATTGGAAATATAAATCATGAGTAACTTTTAAGTTGTTGAGTTTGAAATGTGAAAACCATATAAATAGATTTGTCTTGAAAAATATTTTCATAGAAATATACATATAAAACATTTTGATAAATATTTTTATAAGAACAAGGAGTCCAAAATTATGCTTCGGAGACCGTGTAGCTGTCCAAAATGACTTTATTTTTTAGCACGGAGGGAGTATGATGGAAATTGATCACTAGTATGTGTTAATATGTTATACATGTCGCAGTTAGCTTAAAATTAAATGGTGGATGCGAGCGAATGACACTTGAACTATGAATTGCACCAGAGAGTTGCAATTGGATATACTTAATGTTTTACATGGGGGATTTCATTTGTGGCTATGCAGGTTGCCCACTTTTTTGAAAGATTGCATGTTGTTCACTTGAACAAGGAGTCTATGGATATATATTGAAAAGACATAACTTGTGCTTTGTCCTTAGGAATAAGCCTTTTCTCTCCTTTTGTTTTCTAAAAAGGCAGTGGGCTTGGGTTCGCATCAAAAGACAAGGGGCACGGTGTAAAGACCCACAAATGTGAGCCTAGCAGTAGTGAGTATCCAACCATTCAAAATGGTTTAAGCCATCTCTCAAATTGAATTTGGACGCATATTCCCTTACTAACGAAAAACCGCCTAGTTCCTTATAGGTTGAATCTCTTGTGTAAAAGAATGTAAACACCCAAGCGATTGCATCAACCATCGTTAATCAAACCGAGGCTTCGATATTTTAACATATTTTGGCTCTCTATCTTAGTCGAACGATAGAGCTCTTGCCCTGCCCATCCCTTAAAAAAGAATGAAAGAAAAAAAAAAACTTGTGTCTACTGATTATCATGCACGTCGAGGATTTGGTGATTGAAATTTCGCGAGCATGTTGTGAGCGGTGAGAGCATGCTCCTGTAGTCCAGCCTCAGCTGTGCTGCTGGCTGCTCTGCACGCCATCCATTCCAGCCACCAGCCACGCCGCATCGTCGTCTCCGCTCCTGATCGTCACGCGCCACCTCCACCTGCCGTGCAATCTGGCCAGCCAGTCCGGCAGTCCCCCCACACACTCCCACGCCCACCCTTCCCCACCCATCGACCCACCAAAAAAAACTGCATCGAATCCCCGCCGCGCCGCCAGGAGCCCAGCCGACGGCATGCCGCCGCCGCCGCCGCGCAACTCCACTCCCCGCCTCGCGCTCCCCGCCATGGCCCGATCCCGATCCCAGTTCCAGTCCCAGGCGGACCTCGACTTCCCGTCCCTCATCTCCGACCTCACCTCCCTACTCCTCCACTCCCCCGCCGGCACCGCCGCCTCCGGCCCTGTCTTCTCCTCCTCCTCCCTCTCCATCCCCACCCCGACTCCCAAACCCAAGCCCAGTCCCACTCCCACTCCCACATCAGCCGTCCCGACCCCGACCCCGCTGGCGCGCGCGGCCATCGGGGCCTGCGCGGGAGCGGCGGCGGGGGCCTTCACCTACGCGGCGCTGCTCCCGATCGACGCCGTCAAGACGCGGCTCCAGGTGCAGGCGGCCGCCGCGCCGTCGGCCACCTCCTGGCAGGTCTTCCTCGACATCCTCCGCACCGACGGTCCCCTCGGCCTCTACCGCGGCCTCTCCGCCGTCATCCTCGGCTCCGCCTCCTCCTCCGCCGTCTACTTCGGCACCTGCGAGCTCGCCAAGTCGCTGCTCCGCCCGCACCTCCCGCCCTTCCTCGTGCCGCCGCTCGCGGGGGCCAGCGGCAACGTCTCCTCCTCCGCCATCATGGTACCCAAGGAGCTCATCACGCAGCGCCTCCAGTCGGGTGCCGCCACGGGCCGCTCCTGGCAGGTGCTCCTCGGCATCCTCCGCGCCGACGGCTTCTTCGGCCTCTACGCGGGCTACGCCGCCACCCTGCTTCGCAACCTCCCCGCGGGCGTGCTCAGCTACTCCTCCTTCGAGTACCTCAAGGCGTTCACGCTCAAGCGGCGTGCCGGGGAGAGCCTCACGCCCGGGGAGAGCGTCCTCTGCGGCGCCCTCGCGGGAGCAATCTCTGCTGCGCTCACCACCCCGCTCGACGTAGTCAAGACGCGCCTCATGACCAGGGTCGGCGCCGAGGGCAGCCGCACCGTGCTCGGCACCATGAGGGAGGTCGTCGCCGAGGAGGGGCTCGTCGGCCTGTCCCGTGGCATCGGGCCACGGGTGCTGCACAGCGCGTGCTTTGCCGCGCTCGGCTACTGTGCCTTCGAGACCGCGAGGCTTGCCATCCTGCAGTGCTACCTTGAACGCTGCCAAATCAAGGCCAAGGCCGAAGCACAGCCTGAGATGGAGCCTGGAGTTGCTGCTGCTGCTACTTGAGTTTGCTGCCTGCCTGCTTTCCTTTTGCGGCTTTTCCCCGAGCGAGGGAAGGTAACTGTGGCTGCTTCGTGCTGTAGTCTGCTAGTGTTGGGAGTGTCAAGCTTTGTTTCAGTTAACAAATCTAGGTGTACGCTACCTTCCAGCTGATGTACCTGTTAAATCTCTCGGCTTTAGCACCATCAAATGTTCATTGAAGAGTTGAATGATAGCAGGCAATAAGAATTAAATCTATCGTTTGGTTACTCTATCACTCCTACATGTTTTAATTCACAGCTGATGGAATATAGATTATGTTCATGCAGTGGCTATATTAACGCTCCTAGATGATTTTACCAAATAGATGTTTAAAATAATAATGCATTGGACATAAGAATGAAATCTACTATGATTGTGCTATATGATTTTGAGTATGATGGTTCAGGTGCATGAACTATGTCCCTCTATTGATGTGGGCACAATGGGATAATTCATGGTTTACATGAGCAAGTCTCTTTTAATTTAGTCCTTATCATCATCATCAGTCATTCAATTGTCAGACAACTGTAAACTTTTAAAAGTCTGGGGTTTCGGTTTACTACTGTTCATAAATAGCATCACAGTTACAGAAGTTTCAACCAAATTAAACTTTAAAGTTAGTGGACATCAAAGGCAACATTGTAGCGGAAATTGGAGACAATCCAGATCACTCCAAGGACTTAGAATGTGGCACCACTGCATGCAAGCACCTCTGGGGCAAATTAGCATGCTATGGCTCATCATTTGAAGTACTTTCTGCAGAACGAATCCGTAGCATGTGGGTAGTGGATCCTGATGAAATTCTCTAGGCACTTCTTGTAAGAGAAATCTGATCTCGATCTTTCTGAGGACGCAACGTACAAGCATCTGCTGCTAGGGAAAGTTTGATGCTTATCGACCTGTAAGCAGGAAAACAGTTAACCAGAAGAGCATTTCTCTATGATCTCATTCTCATGCAAAGATGAGCTGCTTAGTGCTTACCATAATGTAGTTGCCCTGACCGGCCATCTTCTTCTCCTCTGGGTGGTACATCAGAATCTCGTTCACCACGAACATCTCATCATCTTGAGAAAGCTTCATGCCATCTCTGCAAATTATAAAGCCATGCAGACTGTGAATAAGTGATTCAGGCGCAGAAGGAGCACCTGGTGTCTCAAGGTAACCAAAAAAATAGGCATATTGTTTACTATTGCAGTTACTTGGACCTTGTGAAGCTCGAGCTAAATCAATCATGGTCATCCTATCTTTCAGCAATTCAGCATACTACTTGAATTATCCTAGTTACTTATCAAGCAGGCTTGTTTGTCCAAGCTGCATTAGGCCAGGAAATGTACCTTGATTCACGGATGATCCTTTTTACATTCTTAATGATTGGTTCAATTTGTGTGTATATTTGCTGCTCCACTGGTGTGAAACTGTAACTGATCCTTCCTGGTCTAGCATTGTTGTTATTCTGGGCTCTCCAGTTCCTGCTGTTACTGCCTCCACGGTGTGGTCCCTCTAATTTCCACATGCCTCTACCGCCACCTCTACGACCACCTCGACCAAAACCACTATTCTTCCTGTTCCATCCACCTGAGCTAGATGATTCTGCATTGGCAAAGTCCTGTGCGCCTGCAACATTTTCTCTACACCAACTTAGCTTGTTATTTTGGTGTGTCGCAGCTTGGCTCCAGCTATGCTTTGGTTGCTTTCGAGCATATACTTGGCCAGTAAACTGTCTCTTGTTCTGTCCTCTGGTGCTAGTTGATTCTGCAAAAGCTGTACGGGGAGGACCCATTGGCTTATCATTTTTCCAGTTTGCAACTGAGTTCCATTTTATCTTATTTTGCATTCCCTGGTGTTCCTGTACAGTGCTGCACATTCCAGCCCTACCCATAAAATCATGCAGCAGGGAATCACCTTTTGGCTTGTCTGTCCATGATATTGGACTAGTTCCACCAAAACATACCACCTCATCCTCTTGAACTTCGTCCTCTGGAAGCTAGTCAACGTCATACAAGCATAAACTGTGAGGAGCATCTGTCTTCTGTTCAGTAGCTCCTACTGTTCCAACGGCTTCAAGGAAGTCATAAATTGTACTCTCTGAGTATTCCGTTGCTTGCAGACTGTAAGAGACCAAAATGAGTTCATAATAGATGAGAAATGGTAGATGATTTTGTTCTGTGAATAGCATAGATAGGTGAAATGGCCAAATTACCTGGTTCTCATCGTTCCAGTGGATTTTGAAAGCTGAGCCAGTCCCGATTGCTGTGTGATTACCCCAAGAGCAGGTTGACACAACACTAGCCAGCTGATCAGAGTCTACCTTCTCTGCACTCTTCCGGAAACATTGCATTGGTCTCTGCAGCATGTTTCCTCATTTTTGTAATATGGTTGGCAATAGGTACTGGGGCACCAAAATAGGGAACTCAAAAATAATGTACGACACTTACAGACAGTGTAGCTTCAGTAAATGGCACCTGAACCTTCAGGGACTGGAATGTGGCCTTGGAACCAGATCTATTGAAGCCATGCAAGCTACCTGTGCAGGTCATGCTGCTTGCCACGGTTATCAGGTGCTCCATGAGAACTGATTTTGTAACCATCCCAATAGCCTTGGAAAGGTGCTGAAAGAATGATCCGAGAGGAGGGCAGAACATGAGAAACCTTTCAATATAAGCTTTAGTTGATCTGAATTAATCAGAAAGGCAGAAGACAAGAACCAACCTGCACGACTCGATCAAAGACGCAGGAAATACTAAACACCTTTTGAACTTCTTGGATATTGCAAGGTGCAGACCTGGTGGTGTCAATTAGATCCATCACAGGGACACATGCATCCATTACTACTCCCCAGGTGCCACCGCTCTCTGCAGCCGCTATCTTTTCCACTGCGATTTCCAGTGCCAGTTCTCCTTTTTGCTCTGCACTGGAGTTCTTGACCCAACGTGTTAATTCTGGTTCAACCCATATCAACTTAGCCTCCTGGACTCGAGGATCACCTATGAGATGAGGCAAGAGTGGTTCAACAGTAAGAACTTCAAAAGGCATAATTTCTGCATAAGTATTTGTGTTTTCCATTCGATGTTATGTCAATGTGAATTCCGTTATAACCTTTTATAACCGTGTCCAATAGTATAGGAAAAATTGTATTGGTCATCATCTGGATAACATTAGATTCAGATTGCGCTGTGGTGGTGCTTGCATGGATGTAACACTGCAAGCAGGAAACTTGCAAGGCTCGCTCATCACCTATATCCTGGCCACACAAGCAGCATTCACTGCAAAGAGAAGACATCATGTTAAGAAGTTTACTAAGAAGGTATGAACTAGAACCAGACAATTTATGAGGTAAAAATTAGATTATTACAGGCTTTAGCTAATAGCTGAACTATGCATATGTTAACCTTGTACTAAACTGATAACTCAATATTAGTGGGTCTAAACAGTAAGTGAGCATATGAAAGAAATGGGAAAAAATATCCATGCTATTTCAGCACTATATTGTAGAAAAGTGAAGCACCTTGAAATTATTTCAGTTGTCTTCAAAATTTGCATCAGCTGCCTATTTTTCGTTACATGTTTATTGATATTTTTTTGGCATGTTTGAAGAATATTTCCCATAGTTATTTCCATCCGATTCAATTGCTCCTACAGTAGCAACAGAAACCAATATATTATTAGTGACAATTCTGAAAATAGATAAATATTATTTCAGAAGTAGAATGATATACCTTATCTAGGTGAATGTGACCAACAAGGCATTGTGCTGCTTGAGTTGCTTCTTGCTGGTACCTGAAATAGGACAATGATTAGACTGATAACAACATACGCTGAAACCATAAGTGATTGCTATTATTATAACTCCACATTGTGGCTTAAGGTGGACTGAGCAAAGTTGAATAAAATACCAGTTTACATCAGCTCAGATTATCTGTAATTTTCAAGTGTTATTTAGGCTTTTGAATCATTTTTGTAATATAATACTATCAACACAAAGTTTAGGCCAAGCATTCTTTTTAATCAAGTAGGCTAACAGTATTCAACAAATGCACTACAATGTGGTGAAATAAATAACTAGGAAGTGCATAGTGCATACTTGATGGAAATCTCAGTGGCACAATACTCCAATTTGATTCTTTTTAAGCAGGATTGCACCCTGTGTGCTGCTATTTCCGTACAAAACTTGAGTCCACAAAAGCATTTGTTCAGATACAAAATTGCCTTTTGGTCAATGGTACCAGTTTTAGAGCAAGCATCGGTAAGAAGTACTTCCTGTAAAGTAACATATAGAAGTCATTATACTCAACATATTAAATTATACTGGGAATGGAACAGATCTACTAAGCACTTCACCTTCATCGAGTCCCAAGATGTCATGTTTTTTTCTGATTTGGATCTAACACTGCCTTGTATGCAGCATTTGCAAATGCAGTGGCTGCTAAGATACCAACAGGATCACCTGGTGTCACAGAACTTGATACATTTGTCGAATCAAGTTGTACAATTGAGTTGCTGTATGAAGTTCTCATGGTTCCATCATAGCATACTGTGACATCTCGGAGCATTGCCATCATGTTCTTAAAAAGATTGCCAGGTTCAGCCAGTCCTTTAGATGATGAGCGCTCTATCTTTTCCCTTACTGATATTGAGTGTAGTAGTTCCTCATATGGGTTTAAACCATTGTAAAATGAACTCGTAACAAAATCATGTCCCTTTGGTGGTTCATAACACTTGGTGCTTCCGCTGCACTTTTCCAGAAAGTTATAGCTGTCCTGCACTAAGTTGCTAGAGTATAACCTATCAGTGTTTTGCAGTTGACGGCCCAAGAAACCAATCTGCTCAACTAATTTCTTCAGAGCTGAATCATTTTTTGGATCAACGAGCAGACCAAGGGCAGAGGAATTAGCAATGAAGTCCACAGTTGACTTGCTGAACTCATCGATCTCAAGAGAAATACTTTGATTTGCCTTCTGCATTGCACTCTGGCCATCAAGATCTTTCAAGCTTATGCTGAAACCATCCATAAGCAGTGATTCCATTATGAGGGGCTGCAGAAGATTTATGAGCTTTATGGCCTCCCTTGGACCCTTTTCTGAAAGAGTTGATGAGATGATGGCAGTAACTGAGGCTCCAACAGTGTTCGGGTGGCTTGGTACGATTCTTAATGCATCGGTAGTCTGTAGAATGTGAGGAATAGTCCAACGATCGCAAATAGTCCAACAATTGCGCGGTGGAATCATCCCTGACGAGAACATGGCAATTTGGTTTGCCTTTTCTCTAGAATACGATCTGTCACACATTATCTTCAGAGCTAGTAGGTAGTCATTCTTGATCTGAAAGTTCAGCTTCGCATTGTGGGAGTTCAGCAGTTGTTTCTCCACAGTGAAGAGCTCTGCAGCTTCAACCCTTGCTGGAACTGATCTTGGGAAGAAGATGTGAACACAATCGCCATCAAAATCTTCTCCAAGTGGGCCACAGATGAGCGGGTTGATCTTTATAGCGTGGTCATCATGGACATGGACATATAAAGCTTGAATTGAGTGCATGTCAGTGCTTGGTGGTCTATTGAGGAAGACGAGATCCCCGTCAAGGACTCTTCGGTCTACAGTTTCACCAACCCTCAGCATGATGCACTTCTTGTTTCCTTTCTTCCCATCCAAGTCATATGTATTGGTATTCAGATCGATGTATGTCAGGCATAATAGTCCTTTATCCATCATGTCTTGCAGCCGAGCAATGTTGTAGTTTGTGACACATTCTTGTACTGACATTCTTCTCGCTATTTCATCAGGCACCCCTACCACATCAAGGCCAATGTATGGGTCACCAGTGATCACTGCACGACACGTGTAGCTTGAACTCTTACTAAGGAAGAGGGCCTTCATCTTTTTATGCCACTGTTTTGGTGCAGGCTGTCTTGTAAAGGTGACATGCTGGGAAACCTTCAAAAGACATAAGACGATAACACATTATGCTGCTGCAGTTATGATCAATAACGTAATTTCTACTTATTTTACAGATTAACTATAGGTACCTTTGCTGCCCCTCCCATATTCATGTAATCGGCGACAGCTACCTGAAGATCATCTGCCCCTAACTCACGTGCTTCAATATTTGGGTGGCTGATATTTAAGCTTTTGATTTGTTCTATCACGCGTAGGACTTTCCGCAACAAGCCTTTTGATGTGTCCTAAATCAGGAAGGGACAATCAGGAGTAATTATAATGATCTGGAAGAAGGGGGTCTTATGCAAACAGGTAATTGTTTTATCAGGAGGTACTTACAGGAGGGCACAATTCTGTGTTCTCATCTAACATATTTGAAATCTGCAGGCAATTGGGTGGGATGGACATGTTATCCATCACAAATCCATCCTGAAGATTGTATCCCCTAGCAGCAAGCCTAGCTCTTGTTTATTCAGTGATCTTCTTCATTATGTCCTGAACCTAAGAAATTGAAGAACAAGCTGTGAGTCCCTCTGAACAAGATGTGAGTACATTTGAAATGTTTCAGGACTGTAGATATTGCCCAGAATCGTTGAGTACCTCTTTTGGTTATGGGGACGGACGAGGGGATTTTTTTAACCTCAGCCTGAAATTCGCTCCCACGGGGAGTCGAACCCAGGACCTGAGGAGTGTCGCTGGGTCACCTAACCGTTTGAGCTAGGCGCCTTTTGGCTATTGACTGACACATAGTGGTGGGAGATCCTGGAACAAGAGGAAAATGTAGGGATTTGTAAGAGCAGCGCTATTTCATTGTTGAAGCAAAGTAGTGCTCCAGATCAGGAATGTGCTGACATGGGAAATTGTGACCGTCAGACATGATTTGATATTTGAGGATATATGTGTGTGTTCCAATCAACCCAAGTGACTAAGTGAACAAATTTGTATGAACAATAAGGTATGGCAGGATATGTCTTTTAATCAGTCACAAACTATTACGGAGTACCTGACAGTATGAGAATGAAGTAAATCTGCTTTCTTTCCCGGTGCCCTTCTGCTTGAGAATAATAAACAAACAAACAAAAAAGAAGCATGTGAGGCATTCTGTTTGTAACCATAACAGATATGATTTCTCTGAATTTTGGCAGGGTTCTTGTCCGTGGCTGGCTGGCTGGCACGCGCGTACCTTGGGTTTCTTCGCGCCGGTCCTAAGATTTTTTTTACCTACAACGAAGCTAAAATTTTGAGCCTTTTGATATAACCATAATAATAGTACTAGTACTATCCATTGGTAGCATATATATACACATATACAAAATGTTACTAATAAGCAGTTAACAGAATGCAAAAGCAATATTCATATGAAATAATTTATATACATATTAAATTACCTCAAAAATTTCTTCTAACATTCCTTAATGCGAAGTCATCGATGATGGTGTCAATATCAATCTCAACCAACAATCATTTCTCAATGCACAATGTAGGAATTGAAACAATTAGTAACTATAATTTCATAAAGGAGGGATCGAAACAATTAGTAACTAGATTTCATTCCTACCCTACCTTGCTGGTTGATACTGCCGGGCACCTGCCTCCTCGGCTGGAACTGCCGATTGTTGCATAGGGAATCAGGGATCGGATCACGTAAGAGGTGAGATTAGGGCCCTTGTGAGGTGTGATTTGCCGCCCGCTCTGTCGCTCTGCTCTGCTGGAAGTGGACGCCGCATCGCCGCCAGGCCCCGCCACGCGCCATGCGCCCACGCCGCACACGCAGGAAAGGAAAGGTCGAAGGTCGCGTACTCGCATGACTCCAGGTTCGCGTCTCGTGCGCTGTGATCACAATAGTCGAGGAGTCAGGGATCTGGCTACTGGCGTCTACGTATTACTAGTGTGGGATTCATTTGAGTATTTCAGTGAAGTCCGTGAAGTAAATGAACGAGAAGGATGTGTTATTTGGTACTTGTGTACTAGCTAGTTTGTACCCAAAAAAAACTTGGAAAGGAGATGTTTTATTACTTGTTACAAAATCCAGTCCACTACTCGTTCATGTACAGACCTGTAGTTGGGTGCACTTGTATTCGTGAGAGAGAAGGCTGAAGTGAATTTTGGAATTCCGGTGAACCAGCAACACGATGCATGGTCGTCTGAACTGGATGATATATGGGGGTCATGCGAGATGGATGGATGGATCGACATGTGGCGTGGGACCAGCTGCTTGGGATTCATTGCCCTATTTCAGTGAACTCCGTTGAGTAAATGAACGAAAAGGGTGTGTTGGTACTCCCGTGCTTGCACCGAAAAAACTTGGAAATGAGATATTTGACTTGTTATTAAACCCAGTTCAGTACTCGTCCGTCCCCAAAGAAGCACAGAGATCGAGAGACAAGGATGGAGTGGATGAAAATCGATATAATAGGATAGGATTCTGACTTCTAACAGGATAACAGGACGGGGGGATGGATAATATGAGTAGCAATATTCAGCTCTCCTCACAGCTGGCGTACTCTGAAGAAGTGTTTCAGTTTCGTCAGACTTGAATACAAGATGTAATATATAAATACAATGTAGTTTTTTAAACTGAAATACATACGGCATGTTTGTGGTACAAAAATCATGATTTGATTATCTGATTCCTTTTTTTAAAAATGTGTACAATGCAGAAGTGAGTTGGTACAATGCATGTTCTTCTCAATTAGCTATACAGAAGCATGACAGGTTCATGTGAAGAAGGATAACTCAGAAATTTCATGTTTCCTTTTTGATTGGCTAGCTGCTGATGGTCACCTAGCACAGCTGCTGTCCAGGATCTCATCTCTTTTTTTTTTGAAGGTCAACGGGGGAGGCGTTCCCCACCTGATATATTTATATTGGCCCCAAACGGCCCCTTATGATGTTTAGGAGTACATTGTTGTTACAAAATCACATAGATGGTGATGTTGAACAAGAAAAATAAGAAAAACAATTGCGTCAGTGTATCTATCCTTGCCCTTGCCTTGCCATCTCGAAAATCTGACACCATGTATCGGCAATGTGCTTCGTCTTTTTGGAAAATCTGAAGCGCCATTGCTCCGCCGTTGCCTTGCAGGCTGCAAACACTTGTGTGATTGTTAGCGTTTCGTTTCTGAAAACCGCCGCATTCCTAGCCTTCCACAGCTGCCAGCACGCCAAGGCGATGAAGGCTGAGAACTCTTCCCTTGGAACCCCTCCTTGCGGTGACAGAGTATGAAAACTGTCCGCGTGTGTCCCTAGCATGGAGGTCATGTTGAGCCTTCTCCAGAATTCATTTCCAAGCTTGCAGCCACTGATTATGTGCTCAGGTGTCTCATCTTCCTCATGGCAGATCTCACATGTGCGATCATGCAGCACATGCTTCTTGTGTAGCACAGTGCGGCACTGGATGCGCCGTTGAACAAGCAGCCACATGAACATCGATCTGAACTCTCGGTGGCGCCGAGTTCTGCCAAATAAACGATGCACGTTCGTCGTTTGGTTGTCCGCGAGCTTTTAGCAGACGGTAGATTGCTCCACTGTCTAACCCAGAGGCGCCCTTGCTGAAAACTGAGGAGCGCTGGTCCGGTGACTCCAGCAGCTGGATGTCCGCGAGCACACCTTCAACATCTTGTAGATCTTGCATTGCTCTTTGGGATAGCCGCGGCACGAGCGCCTGCTGCAGTCCAGAGCTTACCATGTCGCTGACAGTGGCATCTTTCATTGTACAGTGGCTATATAATGCCGGGTAGATGTCAGCAAGTGCCTCGTCCCCATGCCAAACATCTAGCCAGAAGGAGCAAGATTTCCCATCGCCAAGCTGTACATTGGTGATCGCCTGGTATAGCAGCAGAAGAGACCGCAGAACCTCCCAATGCTCCCCGTGGATGTCCCCTTTAAGCGTTGATATGGATGCCCGGCCTTGAACTGTTAGCAACTCTTCTAGATTGGTTCACAGATAACTTGATTCCGGCAAGGAAAGTACAGGACCTCAGAGGAAGGGAGGTCCGAATCAGCAAGCAGGAGAATAAGGTGCTAGTAGAGGAAGGTACTAGAAGGATCTAGAAGACCTAATGGAAGGAAATCCGGGTACAGAGAGGGAAGACTCGAGGAAGAAGGTGAACAGTGGAAGAGAGGATTCGAGAGGAAGGTAACCTGTTTGGTATTCTGTAATTCGATGCCTCTCCCGTGCAGAGTCGTTTCCCTTTTGTAGTCTCTACTCTGAACCAGCACGGCCCATGGCCTCTCTGGGCTGCAGCCCACCAGCACCCTGACATTCCTCCTTTCTTGAGAAGCGGCTTGCCCCCAAGCCGCTGCTCGGAATCCACAGAGACTTCTTTGCTTAGTAGGCTAGCTTCCACAGATGTCGATCTTCCCTTCAGTTTGCTTCTCCGAACTACACACTGCCACTGAACAATGCACAAAACCAGCTCTGAACCTCCTGGATCCCGTGGAAAATGATGTGACTTGGAGGATAACATCACATTCGTCAGTTTAGTGGTCACCAACATATCAGAGTTGAGATTTGTGTCTGCAGCTATGTGAGTAACCAATTCCATATGTGCAGCAACAGTAAGCCCAAGGTGTATACTGACATTCCCCCCTTGCCCCCAAGCCGATGGAAAAGCTTGGCACCACCGGGATCCCAATGAAACGACAAACTCGTGTCCGGAAGATCAAGTCCGCTGCACAATCGACTATGAAAAGCGATCTGGTCGCTGAAGCTCTGTAGTAGCCCAATCAACAGTGAAGGAATCGCAGACACAGAAGCTTTGTACCTTCTTTCCGACATAAGTGATTCTTGACCTTTCGGATTGCTAACCTACATTTTCTCATTGGTTTTCAGAAACGGAACATTCAAATCAAGTAGATGTTCTAAAAAATCCACTTCTTTTCCAATGCCGATCATACCGAGCGCTTAGAAGCAGAGGTACCACCCACGGCTTAAGTGGACAAACAAGGCAATCTAAGAATTTTTGTTTTGGAAAGCCAGGATCAAGGCTTTGCGGAAAGGATTTGAACTCGTGATGATTCGTGTTGGCCTATGTTTCTCTGGGACTATGTTTAAAACCTTGACGAGCTTTAGCAGTATGCTTGGGGTCCAGCGGTGAACATACTCACCTTAACGAATTTGCAAGAGGTGGCCCAAACAGTACAAAACCAGACAACTACTGGGAAGAGTGGCTGCCCAAGCATTTCTGGATGCTCTTTTGCACTGACGGTGATTTTATATACCATAAGTGCATATGTATATATATAAATGTTTCATCCATTTCTCTTATTTTTTATTGAAAATGATTTGTATTGCAACTGATTGCAGGTCTGGAACTACGAGCATACTTCTCCAGAGAGAGTCCTTGTTGGCTCAAGTTGAGACTGTAGTGCAAGCTCATCAAAGAAGGAGGTGTGGCCTTTATAAGCCTATTTGACATCTACAAGGCACTAAAGCTTCAACCTGGCGGCCTCTGCTCCGATATATCACAAAAGAAAACATTTTTTTACAGTATGGGAATTTGGCCCAATAGTCCCACCAATTTGAAGTGATCAAGCCACCACTGGTACCAGTAGGGAACTGGTACTACCACCTCTTCAGCTCTAGCCAAGCTCTCCAGTTCTTCTCCATCAGTGAGTTGCAATGGGGGCATCTCAACATCCTCTGGTAGAATCTATGTAATCCAAGCCTTCTGGGACATCATCCACCCGCAACTGTTTCTCTCTTGCAGCTCTTTCATAGCAATGGCCTTTATGTTTGGAGGCTAACCCAAGCATCCATCACTCTCCTCCCAAAGAAAAAAGATGCCAACACCGTCGAGGATTTCAGGCCAATCAGTATCATTTCGAGATTCATCAAAATCGATTCAAAGAAGAGGAACAAATATTGTCTTTAACAACACTCATCCACTTATTGACATTGACACGTATCAATCGGCGTTTATCAAGGGTCGCTCACTCATAGAAACTTTATTGGTTGTGATAGAACCACTTATCTTTCGCCACAAACATAAGATCCCTATGGTCCTACTCAAGGTAGACTATCGCAAGTCATTTGACCTGAGAAAGAGAAGAGTTGTGTCTTAAAGGAAAGACGAGGATGTAGAAATCCACACACACTTGTCTTTCAGGCCTAGCCCACTAGGGATTTCCAAATTGTTAGGTTAGTGGCGGGTCTTTCTTCTTCTAGGTGAGATATGGATCTACTTTTCCTTTCTTTCATTCCATTTGTCTCTGTATGCTTGGGTGAATGCCATAAGCGGATTTATATGCCACAGTTCTCAGGGTTAGGGTATTCCCTATGTTGAGCCTACTCAGATCAGAACAAAACTTTTGGATTCTCTTTCGCCTATCGGCCGGCTTTAAGCAACCTTCACATTTCCTGCTGAGATCCCAAGTCTCCAAGTGGGCCCTCTTGGCCACCCACGACCTTGGATTTTTAGAGAATCCCGCTCCTGTGTCGTAGGACTTGTAGCTCGGCAGTCCACCGGGTAGGTTTGTTTATCCATCCTTTTTCGAGTGTCTTCTTGGATAGTTATAGCGGCCATAGGCGCAAGATGTACCTTGTGGAGGGCGGCGGTCCCCTGGACATAGCATAGTCCTTTCAGGCAGTGGCTGTTTAGTCCATGGTCCGTTGGATGGTCGGTGCAAGGTCAGAAATTGGAACACATTGATTCCACTCGTTCCTGTCCTTCGCTTCAGGGCCTATCCCTCGGTGTGGTCAGTACTCCATACTGTCGGGCAACAAAGCTTACACTTGTTCATTTATTGGTTCACCAGGGCCTCTTTCCTCCTCCCTTTTCTGCTCACTCGTAGGGGTCCAGACC